GCGTGGCACTTATGGCACTGGGTGGCGCGCTTGGGCCGGTTTCAGTCGCCGGTGACGCCGCGGCACTTTGCGTGGCAGGCGTGGCACTTGGTCACATCCACCTTCGTTTCATGTGGCAGGCGTGGCACTTGGTCACATCCACCTTCGTTTTGCGTGGCAGGCATGGCACTTAGGGCACTGGGCTGGCTCTGGTGGCACGCTTGGGCCGGTTTTAGTCGCCGGTGACTCCGCGGCACTTCACGTGGCAGGCGTAGCACTTGGTCACATCCACCTTCGTTTTGTGTAGCAGACGTGGCACTTATGGCACTGGGCTGGCTCTGGTGGCGCGCTTGGGCCGGTTTTAGTCGCTGGTGACGCCGTGGCATTTTGCGTGGCAGGCGTGGCACTTGGTCACATCCACCTCCGTTTCACGTGGCAGGCCTGGCACTTGGTCACATCCACCTTCGTTTTCCGTGGCGTGGCACTTATGGCACTGGGCTGGCTCTGCAGATCACGACTCTTTCACACACCATCATTGTCACCCGCCATTTTTGACACACCATCTTTCACACACCACTTTGTCACACACCATCTTTGACCCTCAACTTTGTCACACGCCATCTTTTACACACCGCTTTGTCACACCATCTTTCACACAACACTTGTCACACAGCATCTCTCACACAACTTTGTCACACACCATCTTTGACACACGACTTTGTCACACACAATCTTTCACACACCATCTTTGACATACCCTCTTTCACACACCATCGTTGTCCAACACCATTTTTGACGCACGACTGTGTCACACACCATTTTTCACACACCATCTGTGACACACCCTCTTTCACACACCATCTTTGTCACACACCATCTTTCGTACACCATCTTTCACACACCATCTTTGACCCTCAACTTTGTCACACACCATCTTTGACACACCATCTTTCACACACCACTTTTTCACCCACCATCTTTGACACACCATCTTTCACACACCACTTTGTCATACACCATCTTTCACACACCACTTTGTCACACACACCATCTTTCACACACCACTTGGTCACCCACCATCTTTGACACACCATCTTTCACACTCCACTTTGTCTCACACCCTCTTTCACACACCATCTTTCACCACACCATCTTTCACACACAATTTTGTCTTACACCAACTTTGTCACACACTCTCTGTCACACACAACATTCACACACACCATCTTTCACACGCAACTTTGTCACACACTCACACACTATCTTTCTTTGTCACACACCATCTTTCACATACAACTTGGTCACACACACACACAAAACTTTGTTTTACTTCTCGATCCTCTACCACCTCCTTTGTCTTTCCTTCTTTCCCCGTCCCCGCTACAACATTTGGTGCTCACTATTGGAAGAAGTTGCCTTGTGGGGTTATCCGGTCCTTTCATTTTTTACCCAAAGAATCATGGCTGTCCCTGGAGCTGTGCAGTTCCCTGTCCGAGAAAAAATGCGAAAGCAGAGAGCAGTCACATATTGGCTGATGTTACCTTTCGCTAATAGCAAGGATACATTGGGTATTTTTGGACACTTCTTTCGCCTGACCTCTGTCTAGCCTCAAATGTTTGCCATCATTTGCAGGGCAGAACAGAGTGTCAAAGATATCACGGCCAGAAAAAAATCAAGTAGCGAGGCCAATACTACAACACAGAGCTCACCATCCGAGACTGCTAACCAGGCACTATCTCTTGAGTTTTACTTGCTGCAGTGCCTGCTGCACTCTTCACATTGTCCATCATTTCTGCAACACCAGGACCATGTGATACCTCATCCCAAGCTCCAGCTGACAGCTTTCTCTAACAGCAACCTCTGAACCGCTAGAATGTCGCATCACTCAACAGCTCGTTACGCCATCTTGTGTGAGCCCAGTACTCAGCCAAGCATGTCAACGTATGCCGTATACTGATCTACATTAAACCTACACCCAGCTACCGCTGCATTGATAGATTCTGCTGCCGCAGTGTAGGCATTGGAGATCTGACCAGGGACTGAGCCTGCAGACAATTCAACTGTCTGCGGCCAGGCTAGAACGGCCGAAAAAATCGGAGGCAAACCGTTCAAACCGATAAAAATGGGCTGCCGGCCTACCCAAGACAATGTCTGCGAGCCCCATGAGCCAGTGGATACCTGGACACAACATGGCCAAGAGCAGAAACGACGCTCTCAGACAAGGAAGAAACATTCCATGTGAACCAAGCAGAAGATGTTTGGCGATCTGAAGGCATTGCATGCTTCATTGTCTTTGCAGTTTGAGGCACTTTGCTATTTGGTCCGAAGAAGTGATTGATCACGAACTCCTTTGACAGTCCCGGACCAAGCCAGGATTTGCCTTGAAATCTTCAATGAACTAAATGATTCCAATCCGTGGTGAGTCTCTTGACAAAACCCAGTTGTTCAGTCCCATTTTTGTATCCAAACCATGGCTGCAATCCTTGTAATCGACCATTCCGTCGCCATCTGCATCCGCCGCCTTGCAAGCACGACTTGTGCTAAACATCAAACATGCAATTGTTGATTTTTGAAAATTTATGTATATAATATATGTATTATATATAGAAATATCTATATATATCTACAGTATATATTTACAGTAAATATATAAACATATTAAATAATAAATATAAATAAATATATATAATATGTGAATTCCACTGTGTGTGTGTGCCTTGATGTGATTCTTGCAGATGTCAACTGCAAGCCAGCATGACACCGAATGCTCATGCGGCCCCTCCGGTTCGAGGCTGTATGAGGAGGGTAGGGTTGAGGTCTAGCCGAGGACAGCCATGACTTGGCCTTGAGCGGTGAACCTGAAAAGGTCGCTACATGTCGCTACGCATCTGGGTGTGGGACACCTGATTTCATATCTTGTTGGATCGGATTCAACATCTCTTTGTCATCTGACCCGGTTCAGATCATTTGGGATATTGGTGGAAGCGGCCGCTACCAGTTCACACTGGTAGCGGAGCCTTGTGCTCCAGCTACCTGATCGAGGTACCTGCAAGAGCCGTGATCCAGGGGGTCGCAGCCAGTTTTGAAGCGTTATGCCCCCTGCAGCTGAAGAGACTTTGCCTCCGGTTCCGGATGACCTTCCGCCACCGGGGACAACCGAATTGCCATGGAGCCAGATTCCAAAATTCGTTCCAGGGGTGACCATGCAATGTTCAGGAGTGCGTACACAGAAGCTGAAGTTCCTCGCAGCTTTGTGGCCATATGAATCTTGATCAATTGGCGCCCCGTGCAGCCCTCCTCATTGAGGGGACGGCATTCAAGAAGATCGCCAGGACTCCTCCAGCAAAGTTGAAAACTTGAGAGGGGGGGACGAAAGGTAGGGGGGGGCAAAAGATACGACTACTACTACGACGACTACTACGACGACTGCTACGACGACTACTACTACGAGTACTACTACGAGTACTACTACTATTACGACTGCCTCTTTTTTCATCGTCTGCGCCTGCTTGGCAAAGCTGATCGGTTTCTAATAATTGTTGTTCGCATATTGCGCTCCATAAATTTTATATATTCCTGTACCAAAAACAATACTTTCTGTGGACTCAGTGGGAGAACCCCCACAGAGTCAACCCCTAACTTGGTTGACCCTCTGGAGGCCCCTCCACCGGGTCCACGTATTCGGAGTTCGGAACGTAATTGTGCAGAACAAAAAACGATACTTTATGTATACTTAGTAGAGATCACAAGGTCAACAACTAACCAAAAACATTAGTTTCGTGGACCCGGTTGGACTTTATGTAAACTTGCTAGAAATCACAAAGTCAACAACTAACGAAAAACAATAGTTTCTGTGGACCCGGTGGGAGAGCCTCCACAGAGTCAACCCCTCACTTGGTGGACCCTCTGGAGCTCCCTCCACCGGGTCCACGTATTCGGAGGTCGGAACGTAATTGTATAGAACAAAAAACGATATTTTATGTAGACGTGGCGGAAGCGCCTCCACAGCGTCAACAACTAGTTCAGTCGACTCCCTGGAGGCCCGTCCAACGAGTCCGACATGCTTTGATCCAAACATATGCGACGGCGACATGATGACATGCTACACTCCGCTACACCACGCTACATTACGCTACACTACATTGCACTCAATGACACTGCACCACAAATAGACAGGTAGACTTAGATAGATAAACAGACAGAAAAATAGATAGATAAATAGATAGACAGACAAATGGATCGATAGATAAATAGATAGATAGATAAATAGATAAGTAAATAGATAGATAGATAGATAGATAGATAGAAAGATAGATAGATAGATAGATAGGTAGATAGATAGATAGATAGATGGATAGATAGATAGATCGATAGATAGAGAGATAGAAGGATATAGATAGATAGGTAGATAGATAGATAGATAGATAGATAAATACATAAATAGATGGATAGATAGATAGATAGATAGATAGACAGATAGAAGCATCGATCGATAAATAGATAGATCGATAGCTAAATAGATCGATAAAAATATAGATAGATAGATAGATAGATAGATAGATAGATAGATAGATAGATAGATAGATAGATAGATAGATCGATAGGTAGATAGATAGATACATAGAAGGATAGATAGATAAATAGATACATAGATAGACAACTAGATAGATAGATACATAGATAGATAGATGGACAAGGAGGTAAGTACATAGTCAGAGAAAAAGAAAGAAAGAGATGCGGACCAGGGGGGAATCGAATGGGGGGGGGCCCCCCCCCTAAGTGGAGATTCAATACTCTCAGCTCTCAATTTCCGGGAAAGGAGCAGCCACCTCCCCCAGTACTAAACTAGTACTAAAGTACATAGAACTCAGGTAGCCTAGGCTACCTTTCGTGATCAAAACCACTGACGGAATAGCAGCCCTTGTGGAAGCTATCGTGGGTTCTTGGGGCTCAACTGAATGATATAGAGGAAAGGTATGAGTTTTTCGAGAAATCGCTTTACGGGCCAAGCGAGCGGACGAGTCACATGATTCGCTTTGTCAAGGATGGAGGCCAGTTTTTTGGAGCTCATCTCTTGAAATGCCACGTTAGAAGAAGTGCAAGCATACGTTCTGCTAAAGGCAATCACCCCTGAGTGCTGATGACAAGAAACGCATCTTGCTGGAGCATGAGGAGAGCTGAAGTATCAACCAGTGGTCAAGCCATTTCGTCTGTTGGGAAACCGTTTTTCCCGAATGCGTAGCAAGGGTTCCCGTTTCACTCTGGGGGTCTGGGGGTTGAGGGTGTGTTCGCTCGACGTTGCGTTCACGGTCGCAACCGTTCGCAACCGTCCGCAACCGTCCGCAACCGTCCGCGCGATCCCCGTATGGCCGTGCCTATGGGAAGTTCTGCAGAGGTGGTCATTTTTGGAGGTTTCAGACGTGTCGTTGCTTCGTTTCGCGTGGCAGGCGTGGCACTTCGTGACATTCAGACGTGTTTTGCAACGTGTTGAAAATCGTTTTGCGTGGCAGGCGCAATACTTTTGCGACGTTTTCAGAAGACGTGTTGCAGTTTTCGTGGCAGGCGCAGCACTTTGGACGTGTCCATCGCCATTTTTCGTGGCAGGCGCAGCACTTTAGACGTGTCATGTTGCGGGTTTTTTGCAAATCGCATTGGCAGGGCTGCGTCAAGTGGCGACAAGGTGCAAATGCAGGCGTGGCATTTTCTGACATGTGCTGAAAATTGACGGAAGCCTCGCACGAAACATCGATTTTGAGGTTGCAAATTTTCACGTTCTAAGGAAAACTCGTAGGAAAACGTCGATTTTGAAGCTACAAAGTGTGAAAATTGGAGGAAGTCTCGCACGAAATGCTCGTTTTGGCGCTCCCACGTGTCGCGTCTCGCGTCTCTGGTTTTCCGGTGGCCTCGCCGTGTCTATGGTGGAAGCTGCAAAACTTCTCCTTTTGTCATGTTGCCAACTGTGAAAATTGGAGGAAGCCTCGTACGAAATGATCGTTTTGGTGCTCCCACGTGTCTCGTCTCGAGTCTCTGGTTTTCCTGTGGCTTCGCCGTGTCTATGGGGGAAGCCGCAAAACCTCTCCTTTTCGAAGGTTTCCAAGGAAGTTGTCATGTCGTTTTGCGTGGCAGGCGTGGCACTTTGTGACATTCCAACCTGTTTGATAATGTGTCAAAAATGTCAAAATTGGAGGAAGCCTCGTACGAAATGCTGGTTTTTCTGCATCCACATGTCTTGTCTCGAGTCGCTGGTTTTCCTGTGGCGTCGCCGTGTCTATGGGGGAAGCTGGAAAACCTCTCCTATTCGAATGTGTCCAAGCAGGTTGTCATGTCGTTTTGCGTGGCAGGCGTGGCACTTTGTGACATTCCAAACTTGTTTGATAATGTGTTGAAAATGTCAAAATTGGAGGAAGTCTCGCACAAAATACTCATTTTTCTGTACCATGCAACTCGTCTCGAGTCTCTGGTTTTCCTGTGGCGTCGTCGTGTCTATGGGGGAAGCTCCGCGCTCCACACTCTACACTTTACACTCCACACTTTACACTTTGCACTTTACACTCCTCACTCCTCACCTGAGAGTCACTTTACACTTCACTCCACACTCCACACTTTACACTCTTCCACACTTTTACACTCCTCACTTTACACTCCACACTCCACACTTTACACTCCACACTCCACACTTTACACTCCTCACTTCACACTTTCCACTCCACACTACACACTCCACGCTTTACACTCCACACTCCACACTCTACACTTTACACTCCACACTCCACACTTTACACTCCTCACTTTACACTCCACACTCCACACTTTACACTCCACACTCCACACTTTACACTCCTCACTCCACACTTTACACTCCACACTCACTTTACACTCCACACTTCACACTCCACACTTTCCACTCCACACTCCACACTCTCACTCACACACTCCACACTTCTACACACTCCACACTTTACTACTTTACACTCATCACTCCACACTTCACACTTTACACTCACTCACTTTACACTCCACACTCTACACTTTCCACTCCAGACTCCACACTCTACACTTTACGCTCCACACTCCACACTTTACACTCCACACTTTACACTTGACACTCCACACTTTACACTCCTCACTCCACACTCCACACTTTACACTCCACACTCCACACTTTACACTCCTCACTCCACACTCCACACTTTACACTCCACACTCCTTACTTTACACTCCACACTTCACACTCCACACTTTCCACTCCACACTCCACACTTTACACACCTCACTCCACACTTTACACTCCACACTTTACACTCCACACTTTACACTCCACACTCCTTACTTTACACTCCACACTCCACACTCTACACTTTACACTCTACACTCCACACTCCACACTTTACACTTTACACTCCACACTTTACACTTTACACTTTACACTCCACACTCCACACTCCACACTTTACACACCTCACTCCACACTTTACACTCCACACTCCACACTCTACACTTTACACTCCACACTCCACACTC